GGAGGAGGGGCTGGGGCCTGGGCTCCTGGATCTGAGGGAGGAGGCTGGAAGCTGGGCCTTGGGGATGCCTCCCTGGCTCCGGAGCCAGCACTGCCAGGCACAGAGGAACCCGAATGCACAGAGCTCTATGCCATGCGCCCCGGGTTAGGCCTGTGGAGGGGTTTGTCTCCCCTGTTCCCGCAGCCTTCAGGCCTGGCCTCCGGGGGTTCACAATGTGTTTTGTCCCCTCTGTCCTGGGACTAGAGCCCAGACTCCAGGCTGGTCTAAGTTTGGAAGGGGGAGGGAGGGGGGCCGCAGGTCAGAGGGGGTGAGGGAGGGGTGTGAGGGGGGACGGGATGTCTCCGGGCTGTCACACACACCCCTGTCCCAGGCCCAGGAAACGGGAGGGACAAAAGACTCAGAGAGAGAGAGAGAGTCAGGAACAAAGACAGGAGGAGGGAGACGAGACTCCCAGGAGAGGCGGCCCGGGGAAGCCGGCGTGAGGGGAAACCAGAGAAACAGAGAGAGGGAGGGCCGAGCAGAGTGGGGCCGTCCTGTCGCAGACGGTGGCGACAGCAGTGGAGACAGCGCGGGGACGAGAGAGAGGGGCCAGGGACCAGCAGAGACGGGACAGGGAGTCCTACCCCAGAGACCCGAGACCTGGGACCAGGGCCGGACAGAGACGGAGGGTGGTGTGGAGGTGAGGGAGGGGAAGAAGAGGTGAGAAGGAGTGAAAGACGTCAACAGAGCAGGACCCACAGACACCCGGAGGCTAAAAGAGGGGAGAGGGGTGAGGAGAGAGCGAGCGTCAGAGAAATCTGTGGGCTCAGGCGCAGAGGGAGACCGGGCCGAGCCCTTCAGACGCGCTCCTAGACCACGCAGTGGGTTGAGGGGGCCGGTCGCCTTTCGAGGAACCTAGACAAGGGGCAGCCCGAGGGCCTGATGACACCAGGCAACCCCAAGATGGAGCTCAGGGACCCCGAGAACCAGGAGGATGGGGACCCAGAGGTGAGAGATGGAAACAAGGGAAGAAGAGAGAGAGACAGAGAGACAAAGAGGTAGATGCAGAGAGGAGTCAGAGAGAGCAGGGGCACGGGGCCGGGGCAGCCGCAGAGGGACGGAGAAGGAAACAAAAGAGCCTGGGAAACAGAGAAACATCAGAGACTCAGAATAGTACAAACCCAAGGACACACAGCAAGACCAAGGCCCCAGAGGAAGGCGCTCAGGGGCCAAGAATGGGGAGCACAGGGAGAGAAGAGGATGGAGAGAGAGGAGAATGGAGAGAGAGAGAGATGGGTGGAGTGGAAGGAGGGCGTGTTGTGAGGGTGCAGACGCAGCCCCAGTCGAAGCTGGGGGCTTCTTGGGGCTCCCACAGATGGCCGTGGGTGGGGTCTCTGAGACAATCACCCTTAACCTTGCCAGGACACAAAAACAGGTGGCCCGAGGCCTGGTGAGTCACCCTGACTCATCCTCCTTTCTGGGGCCAGTGACCCCACCCCCTGACCCCCCACATCAGCCCTGGGGCTGGCCGCCAACCTCCTGGCACGCTCTCAGTGGGTCCCAGGCTCACCCCCTCCCCGCTGTGTCCCTCGCCGGCAGGAGGACACAGCCACGGCCCTGCAGCGGCTCGTGGAGCTGACAGCCACCAGGGTGACCCCAGTGAGGAATCTGCGGGCCCAGTATCGCCTCATCCGAAAGCTGGGCTCGGGCTCCTACGGCAAAGTGCTCCTCGCCCGGCCTCGCCAAGGGGGTGAGTTCGGCCACCGGAAGGCAGCCTCGGGGACTCCCCCTAGGAGGGTTCTCAGAAGCCCCCGAGACGGGACATCCGGGGAGAGCAGGTGGGGGCCCTTCTCAACCAGGGCTCCCCAGAAGTTAAGAGCTCTGTGACCTTCTGAGGAACAGAGCCCACCCAGAGAGGGTAAGGAACCTGCCTGGGACCACACAGCCAGGTGGGCGCGCCCCGAGTCCCCTTCTGCTCCCTTCTCCCCGGCAGGTCCGGCTGTGGCTCTGAAGCTCCTGCGTCGGGACTCGGTCTCGAGAACCACCTTCCTGAGGGAGTTCTGCGTGGGCCGCTGTGTCTCGTCACACCCGGGCTTGCTCCAGACCCTGGCGGGACCCCTGCAGAGCCCCCGGCACTTCGCCTTCACCCAGGAGTACGCGCCCTACGGGGACCTCAGCGGGCTGCTGCAAGAGCGGGTGAGGCAGGCAGGGGACAAAGGCTGGGACTGCTCATCTCAGGTGCCACTTTGTCCCAAAGCCCACTGCTATCTCCAACCCTGAGTCCCAAATCAGTGCCCATCTTAGCACCCCCCAAAACCCCCAAAGGACATCCTGATTCCTAATTCTCAATGCAATTTCATGTCGGACCGCAACCCTAATTCATCCAAACACAAGCTTGGAGGGGCAGGGAATTGGGGTCGGGACGGAGGGCGGATTAGGTCTGATGACGGCAGTGGGGATGGAGACAGAGCTGGGATTCCAGTGAGCACTGAGATCGGGAGTGTGGGCATGCGTGGAGTGGGTGGGCTGAGTTTAGAGCTGTTTATAGATTGGTAATGGGTGTGGAGCAGAGCATGGATGGGGTTGGAGCGTGAGGCAGAGGATATGCATATAGATTGAGTCCGAGATGGGCTGTAGCGAGGTTTCCTCTAGAAAGATCGAATCCATGAGATTCTAGGGGGACTTGAGCATGATGGTTAAGGTGGGACCATCTTTTTGGGAATTGGCTTTAGATTTGAAATAGGGTTGGGAATGAACGGAAGGAGGGAGAGAAGGAAGGAAGGAAAGAAGAAAGGATGGGTGACAGGA